GTTGCAAGCATTTTCTAGTACATTTCTTTATATTCTTCATTTGCTATTTAATCTCAGAGGCAGGAATATCTAAATCATAGGTACTCCTACTCCTCACAGAGTCTGCCTGTCAGAGAAGTGCTTCATTCTCAATCCACACTTGCCATTTTAAGTGTTCCCAAGTGGATTTATTAACAAACTCTCACTGGAAAAGGCAGATATGTGAAACCTAAAGGCTATCCTAGGCCATCAGTGACATCAGGATAAATACTGATCCCCCTTCATAACACCTACACACAATACACAATAAGTAATGAGTGTATATTTTTAATTTTGGATTTTTCTCTATTAAAAAAGCATTTAGTAGTACAATGTTATCTCTTTCTCTAATGTGAGAGTCCCTTTAGAATGTTGTTGGTATTAGGTGCTGTCAGGTCAATTTTTGATTCATAATGACCCCATGATACAGAATAAGATTGCCCCTAGGCTTTTCTAGACTGTTTTCTTTACAGGAATGAGCCCTGGTAATGCAGTGGTTAAAGTACTTGGCTGCTAACTGAAAGGTCAGTGGTTCAAGCCACCAACCTCTCCACAGAAGAAAGATGAGACAATCTGCTTTTCTAAAGATTTATAGCCTTGGAAACTTTATGCAACATTCTACTCTGGCCTAAAGGCTCACTATTAATTGGAATTGACTCAACTGGGCAACGAGCTTTGATTTAATTTTACGGGAGCAGATTTTTCTGTCCTTCCCCAATGCAGGTTCAACCTTTTAGTTAGCAGCCGAGCCCTTAACTGTCCTGCCGCCAGGGCTACTTCCCTTTAGAATAACATATGCTTTTATATGTACTTTATAATTTCCAGTCTCAAGGATATTGGCAAATTTCAGACTACTGATGTTAGATGTCTTACCATAATTCATTGGAGCTCACATTTGAAAATACCTCTTCTTTTGTTGTTTACAGCCATTAGTATGTGTGCCATGTCTCTCCTGAAGAGTGTCCAAACATTCCTCACACCAATCTTCCATTTCAATTCCCTTTCCAGCTTCTAAAGAGAAGTCACATGGACTCCTCACTGTGCCCTGGCTCCAGCTACTGTGGCATCGACTGCCTGTTTCTTTGGGTGCTTAAAGGTTCTTCATCTTACTCAAGACTCTGATTGCCCTTGAAAATGAGCAGGCAGACTTTCTTCATGGAAGAAATAACTTTCATTTGCTCTCAAGAGAGCCATTTTTTCTCAACTGACACTCAAACAGTCTGTTCTAACTGACTTTTGCAGTGCCTACAAATGTCATGTCTCTTTTTGGATCTTGCAGAATTGCAAGTAGGATTTGTTCATGCTCAGAATGGCAATCTTTTGGGTGTGATTTAAGTTATCTTTTTTTATAATTGTATAAAATATACATATATATAGTAAAATATACATTGATCCCACAGCTTCCACATGTACCATTCAGTGACACTGATTACATCCTTCAAGTTAGCAATCGTTTTCATTCTCCTTTTCTGAATTTGTCCTCCCCCATTAACATGAACACTCTGCTCCCAAAGTTTTGTATCTAACCTTTCAAGTTGCTATTGTCAATTTGATTCCATATAAGTAGTTTTTCAAAAGAGCACAATACTCGAAAGTTTCTTAGATAAATCTTCAGCAGCAATTAACTTACATCAATAGGTTAGTAAATTTGGGGAGCATCAAATCCATAATATGTTGCCAGATAACATGCCAAAAATATTCATAAAATTATGCCAAAATATTTTAACTTAAATTACTTTGCTTATGCAGTTGAAATCATTAAAATAATATGCTTTACCACAGTGTATGGGAAAAAAAAAAAAGGAAGTACTCTCCTGGGTCTCCTAAAGTGAATTTGGTGCTTGCCACGTGGCCTGTATTTTAAATCAGGACTCTAAAATCTACCTCCCAGTGAAGTGAAAAATCCCTTGTCATGGTAATAAAAATGCATATGGAAAGTGCTATTTATTTGTATAAATTTGGAGGAAAAAACTATTATTCCATGAAGTAAACATGAACATCTTATGAAATAAAATGCAAATATTGAATGTTATTTTTTAAATATATGTCTTGAATTCAAAGAAGTATCATGTGCAGAGGTCACTTTGAACCAGTTTCCCTCTCTCTCTTCTGTGCTAGGGGAAAAAACTCTACTGTGAAATTCCCATATGAATCCCACAGTGTTAGCTGATAAAATTTTCACTTTGGGAAAGTTCAAATGCAGAGTGTAGTTTCAACATTTGTTTGCTGCATTAAGTTACTTAAAGCAATTTTGAATAGGACATCAATGAAAGATTCTGTTTTTCTATGAGCTGTTGGTTCCCTGGAAAATTTAACATACCACTCCAAAATTAGACGTACTTCTGCCAGTGTTTCTTTGCATGTTATTTGGGATGTATTTCCTAGCTATGGAGTCCCTGAGCAATGGTTAATTGCTCAGCTGCTAACTGAAAGGTTAGAAGTTTTGAGTCCACCCATATGTGCTTGGAAGACAGGCCTGGCAACCTACTTCTGAAAAATCAGTCATTGAAAACTATATAGAGCACAGTTCTGCCCTGACACACATGGATCACCATGAGCCAGAACAATTGGTTTCTTTGGTTTTATAGGCTCTGATGCACATTCTAAGCAACCAGTTAAAATGTGAGAGGTGGTGGGAAAGTTTCCCAAAGAAACTAGCTAGCCTAGTAAATAATATTCAAGTAAAAAATCTATGTAAATAGCTTAACAATGTGGAGCCTCAGGAGATCACTCTAGCCACTTTATTTCAGCCACAGCAGCCAGCTGCTCAGTGGACAATTTTGCTATGAGGCATTAGTGATTTAACAAGCTGACCAAAAGCAGTTGGAATGTGGCCTGAAAGAGTTCTTCTCGGTCAAGTTTTACTTGTGTGCTCTGGACTCTGCAAAATATCTAATGTTCCAACTTTGGCATTCAGGAACCTAGCAGAATGCAGTAGTCATTTTACTATAGTATTTTCTACATTCTTTTTAGTGGTTTGTGTGCAATTCTCTAAACCTTTGGGGAAAAAATAAACACTGTTACTGTTGTTGTTAGCTGCCTTGGTGTTGGCCTCTGACTCATGGCAATCCCATGCACAATAAGATTGGACAGTTGTGATCTAGCTCTTCATTGTGATCTATTTCTTTAATAAGGGCTTTCTTCATTGGCTGAAGAAATAAATTTTTGCATTACTTTTACAAAGAGGTAGATCTGTCTTAGTCTGGAAGCTCTGCTGAAACCTGTTCAGCATCATAGCAACACACAGATGTGTGGTAGATATGTGGCAACTGTCCTTGAGGTGTATTGGTTGAAAATTGAACCTGGGTCTTCCCTCACAAAAGGAAAGATGTCTTCAACTGAGCCACCACTGCCCTCATGCAAAATGATACTACTAAGGTAATTTGTTGTCTACCTTTTAGAGTTTCTACCAACCCCTGTCTAGAATTTTTTTCACCAGCATTTTTTTTTTTTACTTACTTGGAAGTGCATTTTATCCTTAAACTATCTGAGAATTAGTTTCATGTAATAAAAACTGATTCAGTGAGATCATAAGAGTGTGATTATATGCTCTGTGAAATAATATCTAGCTTGGTAAAATGGAAATGGCATTGATTTGGGATTCCAGAGAACCAGGTTTGATACCAAAGAATCAATACCACTTGCCTGAGTCATTTGGACAATGACATACATTCCCACTGTGTTTTTAATTTGAGCTCTAACATCTTGTGATGCGTAGCTTTGTATTTTAGAAAATTTTAAATGTAGATATATTTTCAAAATATGCCATTTATTTATAAGACTAGTAAACATTCACAGCTCACTAAATAACTCAAAGAAATAAAAGGGTGAAGCAACGTTCCTAATTTCACTTCTTTCTTTTCTGCCCCTAGTCATCTCTTCTGTAGCTGTCTATTTACTTGACTAAGAAAGTAGAAACCATTATCCTTCAAATAGGGGACATTGGTAGAATTCTCACCTTCCATGTGGAAGATCAGGGTTGGATTCCTGGTCACCATACTTCATGTACAGCCACTACCTGTCTGTCAGTGGAGACTTAGGTGTTACTGCAATTCCAGTTAGGTTTCGATGGACCATCCAGAGTAAGATAGACTAGGAAGAATGGCCTGGTTATCTCCTTCCAAAGATCAGCCAATGAAAACCTATGAATTGCAATAGTCATATCTGCAATTGATCATGGGGATGGCACAGGGCTGGGTTATGTTTTGTTCAGTGGTTCATGAAGTCACCATTAGCTGGGGCTGACTTGACAGCAGTTTACAGCAACAACAGCCATTCAAAATCATGTACTTAAGAGTTTGCAAACTTCAGGAAATTTTATTTGAGTAAATACAGAGGTTTTAAGGAGTCCTGGTGATAGAACAGTTAATCCCTCAGCTGCTAAACTAAAAGTTGGTGGTTTGAATCTACATAACAGCTCTGCAATCTGCTGGGGATTTGCTTTCATAAGGATACAGCCAATAATACTCCATGGGAAATTCTACTCAGTCACAGGGGGTCACTATGAGTCAAAATCAACTCATGGCACCTAACAACAACAATATAGAGGTTTCAGCAGTGGACGGCAAGGGATGCTCTCCTCTCATGGGATGTAGTGTTGATCAGAGAAGGCCAAAAACTAGACAATCCAAATAATATGCAGTGAGGGCAGTGACATAATCCCACAGTTGCCTCACAAATTCTAGATTCTAAATAAGGACTTGTTTCTGTATATAACAATGACCATATGTGATCCAGATGAATTATGGGAAGATTCACTCCTTAGTTTAATTTTACAGTTTTCATCTATATGTTTCCCAAAAACAACTGTTTTACTAACTACATGCAGCTTTAATTTTGTTAGACTGCAGTTTCTGGGTAAGAAGTCACTTAAAATGAACAGATCTACACTTGGGGAAAAAGTGAAGTGTTAGCATAATTATCATGGAAAAGTAAAAATGCAAAATCATCCATTATTTTTGCATCCTATATTCTGTTCTCAGGACATCTACTTGGCCTCTCCCATGATGATTCCAAATTCTGTGAAGAGAACTTTGGTTCTACAGAAGATAAGCGCTTAATGTCTTCCATCTTAACCAGCATTGATGCATCCAAACCCTGGTCCAAATGTACGTCGGCCACTATCACAGAGTTCCTGGATGATGGCCATGGTATGTATCATTAAGGACAACGTAAGCTCACAGCAAAAGTTGGGGTTATTACAAGTTTTGTTTCATAGTGACCCATTCTTGGGTTTCTGAGGTGGTATCTCTATAGAAGTAGATTGCCCACTCTGCCTTATAAGGAGTGGCTGGTGGGTTTGAACCACCAGCCTTCTGGTTACCAGTCAAATGCGTTAGGCTTGTTTCATTAAACCCTCATAATATTCCATTTACCCTCTAAGATATTGGTTGTTTATATAATGCCAGAAAATGGGGTAAGAGGACTATGTCTAATGGTATGTAATGCCAACATCTTTGGTGGCATTATAAGGATGGTATTTTTGCTTTTGAATTGAAAAGTTCAAAAGACAAACAGTGTGGGAGACCACACAGAATGCTTAGCCAGTGCTCTGGAAGCCTGGCTTTTATTCCCTCACTTACCACCAGCTTCCTGTGAGAACTTTGGCAGATATCTTTGTTTCCCTGCTATTAATATGACTTTCAGAATTATTTGCTACATGCCTAGTAGAGGGGCGTGGTAAAGATGTAGGTGACAATTCTGTCAGGTTCTCTTTATGGCAGCCTAAAGCCAAGAAGGAAGCCCTATCTAGATTTGCATTGACAAGGAGAATTTGGTTTTATCCTAACAGCAGATTCCTCTGAAAGTTGAGTGGAAACTGCAGAAAGAGAAAAGCCATCTGAATGATGGGAAAACACTTACTTCAAAACTTCAAAAGAAAATCTGTGCCTTTGTCCTTTAGGTACCATGCAAGAGTCTAGAAGACTTTTTAAATAAATTCTATACATCTAGAATTAGTGCTATAAATTATATTAAATACCAAGACAGTCACAGTTTTTAGAAATTATTCATTCTGACTGGAAAATAATCTTTGAAACAAGCTGATGAAAATTCTTAGCATGCTTTATTACTTTAAAATAACAGAAACACAGGAAGATAGATGGCTTAGCATTAGAAGAAATCTTCAGAGACCAAATAGTTCCATCTTCTCATCTACAGAAATGAACATATTGTCATTTCCTGTAGTTTCTCTTTTTTTTAATACTTGCCTCTTCTGAAACTAGTGGTTAAATTGCAAATGACAGAACTTTGTGATCATATTTGCACTCATGTCTCGTAAGGTAGGATTTAAAGTTGGATGAAAAGAATTTATGATTTGTGATGTCTGTTGTTTCTCACTTCCACCAAAATTGGGACATGGTACTTGCATAATTTCTTAGTGGGTTGGCAGTCTTGAGCTTTGGTCACATAAATATTAAAACAAGTAATAAATTCATTTCTGGCAAACAAAAATCAGCTGCTCAATTCTTTAGTATCACATAGCCAAAATCAGTTTGTTAACTCATTTTTGCCACTTCACTGATGAGCTGTTAATGCTTTACCTACTTGTTACATTTCTTTTTTTCCTTGCTACAATTTAAGTTTCCTACTCCTGAAGGCACTCCAGGTCTCTGTTGATTAAAACTTTCTCTCAGTACCAAATAAATACTGTTTTTCGGTTGAAAGCATACTCCAATATCTCAAACACTTACAAACAATACTAAGAATCAATGTATTTGACTTTTCCATAAGACTAATAATAATGTAATAATTTTTCACTGAGTTCATTAAAATGCTGATTAAATGTTGATAATGCCTTAAAATGAATGCTTACCTAATTATCTGTCTATATGGATCAATTCCATACCTAATTTTAAATTGTGTTTGGGGTAGAATTTTAGCCTCCAATCTTAATATTAATTTTTGCTGTTTTTTCAGCTTTTCTGAAAGTTAAATAAGATTAATATTTTATTTCAAAATCACATGTTACACATTCCAAGAGGTTGAGCTAAACTTTGAATCACTAAATGAATGGGATTTAGTTGCTAAGGCAGCAAATACTTATGGCTAAAATGGGACCATATATTTTTTTTTCCTGTACAAATATTAGGTCAGCTAATTACAATGCTATGCAGAATTTTGTTCCTTAATACCATAATTTTGGAATGATTCATTTATTTCATGTTTGTGGAATTTATGATCTTATTTTCTGTGCAGTAAATATGTTTTCTGCATTGTCTTTACTTTTTTCAAACAATAATCTCTATATTAAGAGTCCACACTGATTTATTTTAATTTTACAACAAATATTCATATTTTATGCATGTCTTCTGTCTCTGTTCAAAAGACTCATGGTAGAGAGTAAGCAAGACACAGTTTTAGTAGAAATAAATATTATTCATTTGCACTGATAATATCTCATCTGAATTTTCCATGTGCATGTTAAATATAGAAATTCAATTGCCAAAATTCTCTAGACAGAAAATTCATATAGTTTATTTCTCTGTTAATTTAAATTGACAAATCTAAACTTTCTCATTTTTCAATATGTTACGTAGGCAGTCCTTTTAAAAAAAAAATGTTTTTTAAGATTTTTGAGATTTTTTTAAATCTCAGTAGTCTACAAACAAAAAGCAATTTCACAATAACAAAAATCAAAGGTGGAATAGTGCAATGGTGAAACTCAATTATGTCTCATTTCAAATAGCATATATGGAATTGGGACAGTGATACTCTCTGAATTGTGATTGTTGTTGTTGTTGTTATGTGCTGTTGAGTCAGCCCTGACTCATAGCAACCCCTCCTTGGTTTTCTGAGGTAGCATCTCTATGGAGCCCAATCTTCCTTCTGAGGAGTGGATGGTGGGTTTGAACTGCCAGCCTTCTGGTTGACAACCAAGTGCTTTAGGCACTAAGCTACCAGAGCTCTTTGAATTAAGATTATTTACATTTTAATTTGAAGCCCTTAGGGCAATCTACTTCTGGAAACCCAAGGAGGGGTCGTTGTTATGAGTCCCATCAGACTTGATGGCAGTGCACTGCGTAGATAACATTTAAATGGTGAACAAAAACTTAACTTAGATCAGTTTAAAGTGAAAGTGTGGCCATAGGAACTAATAAATTCAATTTTGAGGCAGTTGAGGTTCTGACATTTCAACTTCAGACCGAGCTCAAGCTGAGAAGGAAAATCAAACAAACATACAAATAAACACAACTTTGTGAGAAGATCAAACTGACATTATGAAGCTATCTCATAAAACCCTTTCACTTTATTCATATAGAGTGACACAGGATTCTTTTCAGGGCCCATTTATTTATATGCATATTCATTATCCAAATAGAATTTTTCTTGTCCTAGGACACTGACAATTTGAAATAATCAAATAGTCATGGAGAAGGATGCTTCAGATGGGTAAACAGAAAAAGAAGTGATATCATTTAGCATTGAGGGAGAAGCCAGGATTTGTAAAAAAGTACTCCTAAAAGAAAAAAACACAGTTGTCTGCTACCATTTACCAGGGGGTCAAAAACCCTATCACAACTTTATGGACCCTAACTCACTGACATCAAGTCATTTCTGACTCATAGCAACCCCACTGGGTTTCCAATGCTGTACATCTTTCTGGAAGTGGATTGCATCACCTTCCTCCTGAGGAGCAGGTAGTGGTGAGTTTGAACCACTGACCTTCTGGTTAGCAGCCAAAACATGTTACCCACTATGCCACCAGAGCTCCCTATGGTCCCTAAATGTACCTCTAAATTGTAGCATGATATAGTTAGTAATCTATACTCAGAAAAATGACTTTTGGCCATTTGTTGTTGTTAGGTGCTGTTGAGTTGGCTCCGACTCATAGCAATGCTATGTACAACAGAACAAAACACTGCCCAGTCCTGTGCCAGCCTCACAATCCTTGCTGTGCCTTAGCCTATCATTGCAGCCACTGTGTCAATCCATCTTATTGAGGGCCTTCCCATTCCTCGCTGATCCTCCACTTTACCAAGCATGATATCCTTCTCCCGGGAATGGTCCCTTCTGACAACATGACCAAAATAGCCAAGGTTAAATTGTGACACTAATATAAAAGTAGCAAAGGAAATGGTGATTTCAAGTTGATATTCTCACAAAGTATGTGCAATTTTTAGATGGTTCCTAAAACAGTACATTATCTGGAAAATCTATTTATGTGTAGTATCTCATCCCTCTCCCTCCTACCCTCAGTGATGCTGGAGAAATGAGGTCTTAAGGTAAAATTAATTTCAAATCATTTTATTTATTTTTTGAATTATTAGCCATAAGTAGCTGGACATTTGAGGATTCAGCTACTGCCAAATTTAGATTCATTAATACTGAATGTTTCCTGATTTAGTTTCAGCAAGAAATGTATAGCAATTAGGTTATGGTTGAAAAGTCAGTGTGCACATTTCAAATTCATGGTGCTTGTACATTTGTGGTTCAGAAAAGGAGAAGCTACATCTCATGGGACCCTCCACCTGGCCAAGATACTTGTAGACATTCTGCAGTGCATTCTGCAGTGTTTGTACAAGTCAGCTGTAGGAAGCTGACTAGGAGTATGAAGCTGGAAAATAAAGGTAAGCACTGGCAGGGAAATTGTGCAGTGAAAGCCGATTATCAAATTTCTTTTCTCAAATGCTTGATAACCTTGAAGTCGAAAGTGATAGCTGTACTGGCTGTATCATTAAGCCCACAATGTCAAGTGATGAGAAAGGCCACCATCTAGGTAGATATAGCTCAAGCACACTTACAACACAGGCTGCTCAGAAAATCTGAGAGTTTTGAAAAATTAACAAGTAGCATAATCAACAAACTAAGTTTACAGTCTCTTACTGAACACAGAACTTAGGAGATAAAATGGTATTACAAAATCATTTATGTGAATTGGTAAAGCTAGCAGTAAGATCTTAACATTCAGGTTTTAAGTTAATGCTCAAAATAATTAAAGTCCATTATGGTAGTATCTTGATTTTCACAATAAATATATTCTTTAAAAGTATATGCAAATGCAACATATATTTTAAGGCTAGGGTGCTATATGTTTTGAAAATGCTATGATTCATCTTTTAACACAGAAAATTCTATATCTAATTACCTTGGGATTAACAGCTGCTAAGCAGTACACCTAGTGCCTCAAGCAATTTCATAAACAGGCCCC